TTTCAATTGCCTCATACATATGTGAAAGCTGAAAAATTAATAAGGGAGACTGAAAAAGAATTGATGTTATTTTTATGATGTTGGCAGAGAATATTGACTGTACTGTGGACTCCCATATCCAAAATCTAATCACTTCTGAGTTATATAAAGAGCTGTTTAGACACAGAGATGTAAGCATGTACTTGGAAAGAGAGATACCATGTGAGGACTGTCTGCAGGCCAAGGAACCCAGAAACACCCGGAGCTACCAGCAAGGAAGGAATTGACACACCCAACACCATTATACGGACTTTTAGCTTTCACAATGGTGACAAAATAAATTTTAGGTCTTCAAAGCTACCCACTTGCAGTATTTTTTTGCTGCATCAGCACAAGGGGACTAAAGCAGTATAGAAATGACACTTCAAGGATTCATGAAGAAGGAGTAAAGCTATTCTATGATACCAGCTTCTCATGATACCGTCTGTATGCTCTGAGTCTTGTGACCTTCACTTGAGGGCCCCACAGGGTAAACAACCTTTTGCCAACTTATTCTTCTTTAAAATGTATGAAATGGAAAACTAGAGGAAGAGAACCTTCCGAGACTGGTATCTCCTAGACCACTCTGAGCCTCTTCCAATGGGAAACAAAGAGCAGGAGGGCACCGGGCGCTGATCCATCTATCCTCTCCCCATCTATCCTCTCTCCATCCCCATCTTTGACATTTTAGGTGTTAATGATGCTTGTACTGAGTCCAACCTGTCCCATGGTGGTGGTGGTGGTGGTGGTGATGTGCTGTGGAGTTGGTTCCGATTCATAGCAACCCTATACAGGCTTTCCGAGGCTATAAATCTTTTCAGGAGCAGAAAACATCATCTTTCTCCCCCGAAACAACTGGTATTTGGGAACTGCAACCTTGAGGTTAGCAGCCTGACTCGTAACCACTGTGCTACCAAAGACAAATCCCCATTTCGGACATTCTAAATGTTAATGATGTCTAGATTGTTTTTAACCAACCTAGAGGTTGACATGGGAAGATCAATGGTGTATGAGGATAAAAGTCATTTCTGAATTACCAAGCAGAGCCACGCTGGTGCCTGTCTTGACAGATGTGTGATCTCTCTTATTTGAGTGATGTGTTTGCTCTTAATCTGTTTTGCTGTGTCCATTTTATTTAAGTCTCAGCTGCTTTTTCATGCTATGACATCAGTAACTATCAAAAGGTCTGATCCTATCAGATTATGTTGTTAAGTGTCATTGAGTTGGTTCCAACTCACAGTGACCCTGTATAGAGTTTCTGAGGAGCAACTGGTGAGCTTGAACTGCTGACCTTGGGATTCAAACTGACCTTGCAGTCCCATGCATTAACCCACAGTGCCAATGTTCATACTTAATGATATCTTACTCTACTGAACAAAGAAGAATGCAGGTAGTTTATACTTTTTGGTCTTCTTGATAAAGATAAATTTTTGGCTTTCCTAATGGCACTGTGGAATATTGCACTAGACCACAAGGTCGGTTTGAACCGCAAGGTCGGTAGTTCAAATTCACCAGTCGCTCCTTCTAAATCCTGTACAAGGTCACTGAGTTGGAATAGACTCGATAGCATTTAACAACAACAACAACAGACATTTTTTAAAGGATATTTTAATAGTGGAAGCCTAAGCTGAGAAAATCTTTAACTTTATTCTTATCTACTGGTTTTGTGATGTTGTTATTGTTTTTAAGTGTAAATGCAATGTTTCAATATGAAATTTTAAGAGGAGAGTTGAATAGCATAGAGATTCAAAGTTTTATTAGCCATGGTAACTTTTGATTAGATATTGTCACCAAGACCAGTTGTTCTTGGTTCTTATAGTTTGACCTATAATCACAAGGGATTGAGTCGAACCCCATTGGTGTATATGCTTACGAGCTCAGTTGTAAGTAAAAGGTTTGCAGTTGGAACCCATTCAGCCACTCTGTGGGAGAAGGCTGCGGATCTGCTTCTGTAACAATTATTGTGTATGTGTACAAGTCAATTCTGACCCATAGTGACCCCACAGGGACTCCTAAGTTGTCAGCTTTACAGGAGTAGAGGCTGTCCTATCTGGAAGAACTTTGCCCTGAACATTTCTGTCCCTGAGCTGTGAACTTCCCTGAGAGAACCGTGAGTGTGATGCCTGAGTTCTGTGTGGCCATTGCAGTGAACTCTCGAACCCAGAAGAGACGTAGAGAGTGCCGCAGGAGGCTGGTTTGTTGTTTCATTATTTTTTCAGGGTTCATGCAGTAAATGACTTGACTAAACGTGGTAGAATCCATTCTGACTCATACGGACCCTATAGGACACAATAGAATGGTCCATAGTGTTTCCAAGCTGATGAATCTTCACAGAAGCAGACACGACTCCCTAACAATTGAAGCCAGCATTCTTCTAGGCACTCTACCTCACAACCCAGGCTTACTGGTTCAAAATGTCATGGTAAGTGACAATATCCTATTTAATTATGTGTCACCACTCACCAAACAGTGAATACTGAATAATTATTTAGTTAAAAAAAATGTCATTAAGTAGATTCTAACGCATGGCAAACATGTATGTGTCAGAGGATAACTATGCTCTTTAGAGTGTTCAGTGGCTGATTTCTTAAAAGTGGATTGCTAAACCTTTCTTCTAAGACATCACTGGGCAGACATGAATTTCCAACCTTCCAGTTAGTAAGTCAAACTCAACTGTTGGCATCACTCAGGGACTCCAATTAATTTAGTCACTCATAGTTGTTTCATGTTTTCTTATCTACAACCAATATAGGAACTATTCCGTTTCTAGTTATGGCCTAGATACCAGTACCAATATTTTTTTCAGTCATTGTCATAAATGACTAAAATTTTAAAAAGCATAAAGAAAAAATACCAAAGGGAGTTCTTTGGACAGAGAACCAACAATAGCATACAACAACCTGAGACTAACATACATGATATCACCTAGACTCAACCCAGATTTAGAAGTATGCCAAGTAAAACAGACCTATAAGACTGAAAATAAAGAGCCAGAAATACAGTTACAACAACCCAAAAATAAAGTAAAAAGAGAATAATGTAGTTATAGAACTCCCAAATCAGAAGAAATCAAATAGATTTCAAGAAAAAATCAAATGAATAAATAACAATAAACCTAAGTGTAACCCTAAAAACTAGACCAAGCCTTACTCTTATTGGTGTTAGGTGCCATTGAGTTACTTCTGACTCACACAGACACTATGCACAACAGAATGAGACACTGGGCCTGCCCCATTCTCACACTTGTGGTTACGCTTGAGCCCATTACTGCTGCCACTGTGTCAGCTCATCTCATTGGGCCTTCCTCTTTTTTCCAACCATCCATTTTACTTAGCTTTATGTACTTCTCCGGGGATTGGTCCCCTTCTGATAACATGTGCAAAGTATGAGAGACAACGAATGTTTCACCATCTTGCCTTTTAGGGAACATTCTGTCTGTACTTCTACAAAGACAGATTTATTTATTCTTCTGGCAGTCCCTGTTACTTTTAATATTCTTCTCCAACACCAGAATTCAAATGCGTCATTTTGTCTACAATCTTTCTTATTCATTGTCCAACTTTCACATGCATATGAAGTGAATGCAAAAAAAAAAAATACTATGGCTTGAGTCAGGTACAACTTAGACCTCCAATTGACATCTTTGCTTTTTAACCTGTTGTGGGGCTGTGGGTTAATGTGCTGCACCGCAAGGTCAGTCAGTGGTTCAAGCTCACCAGCTGCTCCTTTGAAACCCTATTGTTGTTGTTGGTAAGTGCCGTTGAGTCAGTTCCGACCCATAGTGACCCTGAGTAGGGTTTCCAAGGCTGTAAATCTTTACAGGACTGGAAAGCCTCACCTTTCTCCCACAGAACTGCTGGTAGTTTCAAACTGCTTACCTTGAGGTTAGCAGCCCAACTCTTAACCACTACATCACCAGAGCTCCTTGGAAGCCCTATACAGGGTCCCTATTAGTTGGAACTGACTTAAGACGGCACTTAAACAACAACAACTCTTACCCTTAACACTAACCCGAGTCTTAACCATAACCCTAACAATAAACAAAGTCTTAGGCCTAGCCTAGACCTAACCATAGATAGTCCCAAACCTAACCTTCATTCCTATTTATGGCTGGAGTCCTTAAACTTGAGAACCTTCTAGGAGTCTAACATGTATTTTAGTATTTTCTTCAATTGTTTCCTGTGTGTTTGCTTGCTCCTCTAACAAAATTCTTAGAAAAATCATTTTAGAAAAAAATCTCCAGCTGAACTGTGATTTGCAGGAAATGAAGTAGAGTGTCACCTCACTGACTTCACTCAGGGCTGCTAGTCTGAGCTCAGCTCCAGAACAGGGAGCACAGTTTATACTCTTTGTATATTGTGGTCAGTCATTTGATAGATTGTTGTTGTTGTTGTTGCTAAGTGCCGTGGAGTCGGGTTTGACTGATAACAAACCTACATAGGGTTTCTGAGGCTTTAAATCTTTTATGGGAGCAGAAAGCCTCATCTTTTTCCCACAGAGAGGTTGGTGGGCTCAAACTGCCAACCTTGTGGTTCACAGTCCAGTGTGTGCCCTACGGATACCACATCTATAAAGTTCCTACCATGTGTCAGGTACTGCTAAGCATATGATCATATGCTCCCTGCTCCCATATGGTGTATTACTGTGGAGAAGACAGACACATACATGCTGGGTAAACACATTCAATCTGATTGGAGCATTAAAGAGTAAAAGTGAAGTCTGTTTCATCACGATTTGAGCCAAGCCACATTTATTTCCCAGGCTCTGTGCTAAAACTAGAATACAAAGATCAAACACAGGTTCTGCCCTCAAGAATTTGTATAATCTGCAGTTCCATCATGTAATAAACTCGACTTTGATCTGCATTTGGGAACAGAAGCATTCTTTCCTAGGTATCTTAGCCATGATCTCAAGGGTGTGCTGCATTTATTTACTGCATTACCTCAACTAAAGTCTGTCAGGAAAATAAAGGAAATACAAACCAAAGGCGCGAGTCCCTGCAATGGTATGGCATCCTCCGCCTCATAGAGGTAGAAATTCAAAGGCACAAAGAAGTAGCCAGGAGCTGGTTCTGTGCAGCTGCGGCCAGAGATGTGGGGGCGACATTCACACTGCCCATCCTCAGGGGAGCATCTAAGGGGAAAAAAATCCATTGTGAAAAAAGGCAGGAGCAAGGGCAATTACCAATAAGCAAGGTAAGCATAGGCTTACTTGTGCATATTCTCTAACCTGTAGTAAACAATTTCACATTTTTGTTCACCTCATCAAAGATTCTACTTCTAGGTATGGCTGGCATCTCTCTCCCAACTCCATAGCAACTTCCTACAGATTCAAAGCCTTTTTTCAAATTTGAATCCCTGACAGAGATGAGCAAGGCAAGCATGGGCCTCCTTGTACTTACTTAATCATCTGTAGTGAACGGTTTCACTTTTTTTTTTTAAACCAACATCAAAAATTCTGTTTTTAGGTATGTCTGGCATCTGTCTTTCTCTCAGCCCCACAGCACCTTTCTACGGGATCAAAGAATCAAAGACTCTTCAAATTTCCAGTCCCTGACAGGGACTAGAAAATACTAAGAAAGTTTCACATGTGAAACTGTTCACTTCAGATTCGTAAGTAAGCACAAATAAGACTGTGCTTACCTCGTTTATTGGGCAATCCACCCCTGGGCAGGAGGTAGAGGGGGCAAGTGTAAAATGAAAGAGTGGGATTGCTGAGCTAATTCTCCCTGAGGTTGAACCAATTGTTTGAGTGCTAATTAATTGTCCTGTAAAAGGATCCTGAGAGGCTCTCGATTGACATGTCTGGTCTTGGAAACCAGGTCCATATCCTTGGGATTCAGGAAGCCATTTTCCTCAGCTGCTGTCTGTCTCTGCTCTGAAAACTAGGGAGAGGGGAGGGCCCTTCTTTACAAGCTGACGGCACACTGGTGTTCCTGGCAACACATTTATCTACACACCGTTTCAAGGAGCCCTGGTAGCATAGGGGGTTACGAGTTGAGCTGCTAACCAAAAAGCCAGCAGTTCAAATCTACCTGCTGCTCCACGGGAGGGAGATGAGGCTTTCTACTCCCATAAAGATTTACAGCTTTGAAAACCCTATACTGTGTCACTGTAAGTCAGAATGGACTCGATGGCACACAACCACCAACCACCACCACACACCACATCAGTATTCCTGGGCGGTACAAAATGGTTAACATACTTGACTGTTAATAGGAAGGCTGGAGGGCTGATTCAACCCAGACATGATTGCATCCAGAGGCACTTTGGGAGAAAGGCTTAATGACCTACTTGTGAAAAATCATCCATCGAAAATAAGTTCTATTCTGACACACACAAGTCAGAGCAGACTCAGTGGCAACTATTTTTCATACATCAGTATTTGAGCTAGCCCAGGCAGTTAAACTGTCTGCCTCCCCCTTGGGAATAGCTGAAGTGAAGGTCACCGGTTGCAGTTCATATCTTTGGATCATGACTTACACCATTTTTTCCTTGTCATGGAATAAAAAAAAAAGAATACTTCACTGATGACTAAGAGCATATCAGAATAAAATGAGGAGCAATTTCCACCTTTCATTATTCAGTGTACTGACTTACACGTTAGAATAAGCGCCTCCAATGTCACAATCACATGGAGAACACCCCTGGAGATGACGTCTCAGTCCCCAGTATCCTACCTACAAAGAGAGCATGCACAGGTGATTCTATGAAGATGTTTGATGTTCTAAAGTATGATATTAAAATCTCCACAACTGAATTGACACATATCAATTGCCAAACATGAGAAATCACACTGTCGTTTTTCTTGTAGGCACACTGGGCATCGGTCTCTAAGAACACAGTCTCCCATCCCCAGGGCCTGAAGTGAAGGAGACAGGAGAGCTGTCTGTGTGGAGAGGCAATGGGAACCACACAGTTTCTCTGACAGAAGCAATTTATCCTCAAGCTTGGTTACTTAAGGTCGTCTGAGGAGAAGTTCTTCTCCCAGTCGGTTTCCAACTACTTTCATAAAGTTGACAAGCTCCAATACCACAAGAATCCCTGGAGATTTTACTCACACAGTACTAAAATGTTTTGGGGCAAAAAAGTCAGTTAAACTTATCTTGGGATATTACATGAATAGCACAGGTAGTAGACTTGTCTGGTTTTTAAAATCAGTTGTTTGGGCATATTGTGACCCCGCCTTCAGAATCAACTTTGCTGTTTAAGACATCTTTTCTTATTGCAACATCTTGACCTTTATTCAGTATAAACAGCTGATGAAATATACACAACTATTTTTTTTAAAAAATCTGATAACATCTAGTATAAAATGCTCAGAAAAATACTTCCGCCTTGCACTCAAGTTAACCTGCTAATTTCAATTTTAATAGACATGAAACTGTCCTTTGGAATGGGTGTATTAAATTATCCATGTTCTTTGTTTACTTGGTAAAATTTTATTCTCAATTTTACTCAAAATGATTAATTTTAAATATTCAAATATGACATCATCTGTTACAAAATGCTACAAAGAACTTAAAAAAAATTTTTTTTTTTTCCAAAACCAAACTCCAGTTTTGACGTGAGCTACTTGTCACAGGATGTTGTTGTGAAAACTCCCTCTTGGCCAGGGTTACCTTGGGGAGGCCCAGGGCACCACTGATAGATGTGAATATGGTGGACATGCCCTGGACACAGCCAGGAGGGAGATTTTTCTATTGGACTGCCCCGGATGATGACTTTCCTTCTGCAAAAACAATTAAGTCAAAACACTGCACATGTGACAATTAACCTGCCACCGAAGAGTCAGCCTTGGCTGAGTGAAATAAGTCAGTCACAAAATGAAAACGAATGTTACGATCCCACTTGCATTAAGTATCTGGAATAATGTATAGAGAGACAGATATTCATTTGTGGTTACCACGGGTGGGCGGGAAATGGGACTAGGAAAACTCAATGCTTATGGGGAGGGGGGGCTGAGCTTCTGTTAAGGGTGATTGTGCCATTTAGGAATGGTTAAGGCTGATGGCTGGACAATATAATTGTTGTTACTATTAAGTGTGTTGAGTTGGTTTCGACTCATAGCAATCAGGCATAGGGCCTCTGAGGAGCAGCTGGTGAGTTTGAACTGCCAACCTTGTTTTAGCTAGAGTCCCTTCTTCATATTTCCTTCCTTCCTTCCTCCCCCCCCCCATATCCCCACTCTCTCCCAATATGTTTTCAGTAAAATTACTAAGAATATTAGCAGAAAACTATGTCCTAATAGCATATGTTTCTTATTTATCAACTAAATTTCTGCAGACACATCAAGTTCATTGTTCTTTTATTAGATTTAAGTTTTTATTTTTTCTTTCTAAAATGTCATGATGGACTGCCAAGATTGGAGAAAAAAGAAAAGAGTTGGATTTAAACTCCCTAATTGCACAACACATTTCCTATGAAAATGTTTTATCTACTAATTTTAGAACATACAAGCTTATAGATTTAACATGCTCATTCATTTATTTTTCACAGGAATCCACAATATATTTAAACCTAAAGGTTTGTTTTCTTTTTTGGTGAAGACGTTGTCCAAAATCTTTTTAAGCAGAGAAAGATAGTGATGGTGAGAGGATTGTATACTGATAAAAGCAAGATCCCATGAAAAAGGCAGATAAATGCTCATTTGTTCTACTGCTTGGCATTTTCAGGAAAACAATACATCGACCTATAGGCATCTATGGCCGGGATGGTTCAGTCTAATGGAGTGGTGTGCTGGTGAATGTTTAACAACCAGCTATGTGGCATAGGGAAGAGGGAGGTTGATTTAGTGTTTGCTGATTTCTGTGATGTAAATACTCCTGCTGTAGCCAGTTTCCAGTTAACCAATATGATGTCATTGAATGAGGATTTGGAAAGAGATGGACCATAGCTTACCATTACATAGTGTTTCTACTCTACAGCTACAATAGACAAAAACAGCAGTAGTGCATAAATAACCGTAAAACCTAAAACAATGTGGAAGTATTGTTTCAACATTTAGTACCTTTTTAGAAATTTTAATTTAGTTGTAAGTTTTACAGTTTAATTTCTAATAATGGTTGCTATTAATAATGACTTGCAAATAACTAAAAATTTAATTGTAAGCTCTAGCAAGTCAGTATGAGTCAGCTGTAGCATAGCACTAGGCCAAGTCAGTTTCATTAATCTGAGAACTCTCTCACTCCTCCTCCTCTTCCTATGCATCCTTTTCCTTCTACTACTCTCTCTCTCTCTCTACACATACACACACACACATTTTTTTTTCATTAACATTTTGAAGCTCCTTATAATGCATGGGACCTCAAGGTCGGTTTAAACCACAAGGTTGGCAGTTCAAACTCACCAGCTGCTCCTTGAAAACCCTATACAGGGTTGCTATGAGTCAGAACTGACTCGAAAGTACTTAACAACAGCAAGAATAATAGGAAAAAATACCCCTGTTTTGTTCAATGTTCTGATCCAACATTTTCCTAGATTTTATTAATTTAAAAATCATCACTGAGAAAGAAAGATAAGGCAGTTTCACAATGTGGTTTCCTGTTGTCGGGGACATATTGACATGGATAATGACCATATAGTCATGCTAAATATGCTTGTCAATGTGCTGCAGGGGGAACAGAGCAATGACATCCCATCCTCAGGATGAGAAAATGCTTCATGGAGGAAGGGCAGTTGTGGTGGGCTTGGAGGATAGACTATTTTGACCACAGGATCTGGGAGAGACGATGCCAGAGCTCTAATTTCTGTACTTCCTGCTGATGGGAAATGATGTGCTCCAGGGACCTTTCTTCCCATCACAGCACCTCAGTCAAGGAAGGCTAAGGTTGCCCACAGTCTAGTGTAGGAAGCACTAACTCTACTCATCTCAAAACTGCCAAGAAGCCTGACTCAAAATGCACATCACAAAGTATCAAAAGCTTCGAACAGTTATTTTTATCAGACTTCAAATTGCAATATGGCAATAGAATAAGAAAAGCAATGAACAAGACCAAGTCTTTCTGGGCAATGGCAGTAGAGCTCTACATTGCTAGATATAAAGTGGAAATCACAGGCAAATACGTACAGTGCATTCTTCACAGTGCGGCCCGGTGGCAAATGGCCCACACAAGCATTGGCCTGTGTCCACATCACAGGCTGAGAATGGCAGACTCCCAAGGGGGTTACAGTTGCAGGCTGAAAGCACAGCACACAAGGTTATTCTCAGTCTTATTTCTCTACTATTTGAAAATGTCCTTAATAGCTTACACTGGGCAAAACATGTGGCCCAAAGAACACAGGGTAGCCCGCCTTGCCAAGTTTACTGGTTGCACAATCAGTGTACTACATAAAGTCTGCAAAGGAAATCTAGTGCCAGATACCTCCAGAGCCCTCATGTTGTTCTAAGGATGGCAATTAGGAGGAGACAAGCACGTGTAGGAAGTGGCACATTTAACCTGAGTGATACTGGCCAGGATGGGTGACTCAGAGGCTGGGGTTATTGGGTGTCATAGTTATTAATGATGGCTCCTTCTATGGCAGATGTAGTGATCATTTCCTTTTCCCTCCTCTCTTTCTTCCTGCCATACTACTTTTTTTTTCTTTCACTCTCCTCCTTCCTTTTCCCTTTTGCTTTCTCCATCACTATATACATTTCTGAATCCTGCTTATGTTGTGAAGGTTAAGAAAAGATATTATCAGGAAAAATCAGTGTTCATGGAAATAATCCAAATACCCATTAACTAATGACTAGATCAACAAAATGTGGGATATCCACACAACAAAATGCTATTTGGTCATAAAGTGGAATAAAATTCTGAGACCTACTACAACACGGAAAGCCTTGAAAACACTGTGCTAAGTAAATAAGCTCAATGAAAAGACTATATATTACATGATTCTATTTATATGAAGTAGCCCAAGTAGGCAAATCCATAGAGACAGAAAGTAGGTTAGTGGTTGCCTAGAGCCGAGAGCAGGGTGGAGGTTGGGTTGATAGCTGACGAGTACAGAATTTTCTTTTCACAGTGATAAAAATGTTCCAGAATTGATTATGGTGATGGTTGCACAACTCTGTGAATCTACTAAAAACGAATGAATCGGACACTTTAAAGGCGAATTACATGGAATGTGAATTGTATCTCAGTAAAGCTACAACAAAAGAAACAAAAACCAATATTCAGCCTGTTCTCAGACTAGCAGTTTAGTCACTAAATGAAGGGGAACACTGGAATCTACCTGGAGCACAGAAAGTGTGAGAGAAATTGGAAAAAAAATTAATTTTACAGTCATACTTAAAAAAAAGAAGCAGCATGTAATTACTGAAAGGTTCAGAATGTTGTTCTCTAAACAGTGCCTTACACAGCAACAATAGGGAGCTTGACTCTGCAACCAAATGCAGATGATTTACCCAGGATTCCCTCAGGTATTTGAAGCTCTAAGAGGCAACTAACTCTGAACGTTTGTGATCCTATAGCCAAGAGCCTGTCCATTTGGCCTCGGAAAACTACTGAAGGTCTTTCTATTTCCCCTCAACCCCTCCCTAGGCTCTTTAAATTCTGTGATTTTCTTTGTTAGAGAAAGTATGGACTAATACTACAGGGGCATGAGAAGAAAGGGGGAAAGTACTTTAAAATAAGATCAAAGAACCCAGCACTTGAAAATTGCCTGAGAAGTCATTAATCTATGCAGAAATGCATAACATAAGGTAATGAATTTGTACATAGCTCTCTAGAGAGTTCTATGGAGGCCATTTCCCTAAAGGTTGCATTTTTCCCTGCTTTTGCTTCAGTGCCCCCTGCTGGTCTCTTACGATCAATTCAGCAAACCATTGAGAAAAATTCTCCACTACTAAAATTTTCGGAAGGTGTTTTTATCACTTTTTAAAACTCAGAGGCTGGCAGGACTATTATGTATTTACAACTGTTGGATTTAAAGAATGAGTGAGACTACATATATATGAAGTAGTCAGAATAGGCAAATCCATAGAGACAGAAAGTAGGTTAGTGGTTGCCTAAAGCTGGGAGTAGGTTGGAGCGATAGCTTAAGAGTACAGAATTTTCTTTTCACAGTGATAAAATTCTTCTAAAATTGATTGTGATAAAAATGTTCTAAAATTAAAAAAACCCAAGCTTTGAAATGCGTTCAGCCACCTGTCCATGTTGACTTACGTTGGCAGCCGAGGGGATCATTGGCACTCAGTCCATAGTGGTTGGGCTTGCACTGGTCACACTTGGCTCCTTCCACGTTCTCCTTACATAGGCACTGGCCAGCCACAGACCCCAAAGCAGGATCTGAGTGGCTCACACAAATGCCACCAGATAAGGTTCCATCAGGGTCACACTCACAAGCTGGGGAAACAGACATGCGAATTCATTGTCTTGTTGTTGCTAAGTGCCATCGAGTCGGTTCTGACCCACAGCGATCCTGTATAGGGATTCCGAGAAGCGGCTGGTGAGTTTAAACAGCCGACTTTGCAGTCTAGAGCATTAACCTACAGCCCCACACCAGGAATCCGTCATTGTCTTGTTGTTGCTGTTACATACCGTGGAGTCGGTTCCGATTCATAGTGACCCTGCACAGGGTTTCCTAGGCTGTAAATCTTTACGGGAGCAGAACGCCTCATCTTGCTCCCGCGGAACCTCTGGTAGTTTCAAACCGCTGACCTTCAGGATGGCAGCCCGATTCGTAACCACTATGCTACCATTATTTGCAAGTTGTGGACAACTTGAAATAGCAGCATAGAATTTTACCAACACTATAACTAATGCCTTAGAGCATGAAAATCTGAAGGCTTTTTCCTGTGAAGGACTCCAGCCTGGCAGAGTCTAATTATGTCTTGTGCCTAGGTTTAAGTGTTCCAATGCCCATTTTTACTTGAGTACTTCATACACCTCTGACAGCGGAACTGTCAGAGTTAGAAACAGTGCATTTAAAATCAGTATGGGACCACTTGCCTTGCAGGAACATTCCTAGACACATTCCTCAATGGTCGCCTAGTTGTGATGTCACCAGGGTTCTACACCTAACGATATATGTCTATGTGTGTGTGCATCAAGGGGCATGAGAACGAGAAGGAAACCTTCCACAAAAGCACTGTATTAAATGTCTACCAAATCTTTAAAACAGGGTTAGGGAGTGCATCTGCCCTTCCCTATTGTTACTGATTGAATTGTGTTCCCCTAAAATATGTGTTCTATCTAAATCCTAACCTCTATGCCTGTGGTTATGGAGTCCTGGTGTGGCACTGTGAGATAAAGCACCGGATTGGATTACAAGGTTGGTTTGAAGAATAAGGTTGGCGGTTCAAATTCAGCAGTCGCTCCTCAGAACCCCTATACAGGGTCACCATGAATTGAATGGACTCAATGTTACTTAACAACAACAACATGCCTGTGGTTATAATTCCATTTGAGCTTTTGTTATGTTAGTGAGGCAGGATTAGGTTGCATTTTGAGTCAATCTCTGAGATAGAAAAGCGATTAAGCAAGTAAACAGAATTACTCTGGTAGGGTTGTGGTTAGGAATCAGGCTGTGACCCTTAAGGTGAGCAGTTCCAAACTACCAGCTGTTGCGCAGGAGAAAGATTTGTTGTTGTTGTTGTTGTTGTTGTTGTTATGTGCTGTGGAGTTGGTTCTGACTCATAGCGACCCTGTACAGCGTTTCTGAGTCTGTAAATCTTTACAGGAGCAGTGTTGTTGTTGTTGTTGTTATGTGCTGTGGAGTTGGTTCTGACTCATAGCGACCCTGTACAGCGTTTCTGAGTCTGTAAATCTTTACAGGAGCAGAAAGCCTCATCTTTTTTTTGCAGAACCGCTGGTACTTTCGAACTGCTGACCATGAGATTAGCAGCCCGATTCATGCCACTAGACACCCAATAAAATCTCTTAGTATTACATGATTTAATTCCAGGGAACTATTACTATCAATGGTTGAGACCACCACATTTTTGTTTTTCTTTATCACAATTGACTGTGTTTTGATCATGTTGTTGTTGTTAAGTGTGGTTGAGTCAGTTTTGACTCATAGAAACCCAGTATAGGGTTTCCAAGGAGCGGATGCTGAGCTTGAACCGCCAACCATGTGGTTCAAACCAACCTTGCAGTCCAGTGCATTAACCTACAGTGAGTGTCACACCAGGACTCCATTTTAATTATAGAAGACTTAAAATTAGCCAGCTCTTATGTCTGGAATCTTTCTGTAAATATATAGATTCAAGTAAGGACAATTTAGAGAAAATTTATATGACAATGTTAATTGGTCTTAATATATACCTCATTAATATACCTCATAGTATATAGTCGAAGACATCTTTAGGTAAACTTGGAGAAGTTGGGGAGTCTAATTATGGTAGTTTGTTTGCAAATTCCTCATCTTTTCATGGAAAAACTCCTTGCTCACAAAGAATGACTTTCAAATTTCATGACAGAGAGACTAGTTTTCTGTCCTTAATCTTCTTCAAATGCTCCACCAAGGTTAATATTGATTCTTAAAAAGCAAGACTTTGGTTGATACATATGAAAACACTTTGTTTAGTAATTTTTCCAGTTATCTTTCTAGATTCCTAGTTTATCTGTCTCAAACATTGCATTTTCTTTATTCCACACAAGAGAACAATTTTATCTTCTTTTGCAAATACATAGTTTTAAAAACATTAGTAAAAGATATATGTGTGTGCAATTATAAGTTCTGGTAAAAATTGTAGGACAATGAGGAAACTACTTTAAAGTATGCCTTAAACGATTTATTTTGAGTTCATCAATTCTATTCCTAGTCATATCTTAGGGTTAGTCTTTGTGCATGTGCACAAGGCCGTATGTACAAGAATGTTTATTACGGTATCAAAACAAGAATGGACAAAATACACAGTTTTTTCATACTTATGGGAAGGAACTCTGTGTAGAAATTAAAATCGAATAGCTAAGCTACCTGATAGGGACAATGTCTCAAAATGTTGAGGCCATGGGTTTAAGCCACCAACCTTGTGTTGAGCAGCCCTGTGCTTCTCCTACAGCCATACACCTGGATTCAGGTGAATGGTATAAGGGTGTTTATATTATCTTTATTCTTGCATGCTTAGAAGATTTCATTTAAAAGGCTAAGATTAAAGATAAAATAAAAATATTTTTAAAGGCTGAAAAGAGATTGAGAAAATAAGCAGGAAAAAGGAGCTCTGGTAGCTTTGTGGTTACTAATACGGCTGTGAACCGCAAGGTCAGCAATTTGAAACTACCAGCGGCTCCGCGGGAGAAAGATGAGGCTTTCTGCTCTAGTAAGGATTTACAGCCTTGGAAACCCTGTACGGGGTCGCTATGAGTCAGAACCGACTCCACGGCACGTAACAACAACAACAAATCGAATGCTTTAGCCAGTCTTATTACTTTAACTACTTCCCTAAGCCGACCTCCACCATGTCGAATGAGGATGCCACATCTTTTGAAACATTGCCTTCTCCTGGTTGAATCTGGAATAATTTCCCAATTCACCAGGATCTTCAACCATTGCTGCAAGATGGCTGTCTGTTGTGGTTAAGTGCTGTTGATACCAGGGCAGAACTGCATAATTTGGTCCAATTTGTTTGGGGAAAGAAAAGCTCTGAAAACGGAAGTGTTCTTAGTAGTCCCTTACTTTGTCTAACCTAAAGATTGGCGGTTCCAACAGACCCAGAGGAGTTATGAGGAAAGACCCAGGACGTACTTTTCTGAAGGTCACAGCCCTATGGGACAGTTCTATTCATGGAGTCACCGGGAGTCAGAGGCCACAGGAGTTTGGAGATGCTGTTAGGCAGTGAAGACTGGCAGCCCGTGGGAATTTGCCCCAGCAAATGATAAGGATGGGGACTCACGAATGCACGCATAAGGATCCGAGAGGGACTTGAGGGCGTCCCTGTAGAAAAGAGGTCTGCAGCGTTCGCAGTGCTGTCCCTCCGTGTGGTGCCTGCAGTCGTCACACACGCCCCCACTGCGGCCCCCGCTCTCCAGGTACGCGGTCATGTCGAAGTGACAGAGCTCAGAGTGGCCATTACAGTTACACGCTGAGGAAAGAGACCAGAGTTACTGAGGTTTGGGGATTAGCAAAGCTCCCTGAACTCATCACTGCATTTTCGAATCCTCGATATATTTTAGCCACTCCCCACGTTTAAAAAATAGATATACCAAGTATGCAAAGGGTTAAAATAGGTGATGTCAAGGGATCCTTCTAGCATTAGGATTCTGTAAAATGTGTTCCTGAGATGTTTACTATGTTGTTCGCTGCCAGGGAGTCAAATCTAACTCATAGTGGTACCAGGTGACAGACTAAACTGCTCCACAGGGTTTATTTTGGAGTTTCGTCTTTATAGAAGTGTCCTGGTGTAGGTAAGCACCGAACTGCTCACTGCAAGGTCAGAGGTTCAAATCCACCAACTGCTCCTAGGAAACCCTGTACAGAATCACTATGAGTTGTAGCTGATTGATGGCACTTAGCAATAAACAATAACAATCTCTACAGAAGGACCCTGGTGGCACAGAGGTTAAGTGTCAGGTTGCTAATCAACCTAGTTAGGGGTTCAAACTCACCAGTCTACTCAGTAAAGATTACAGCCTTGGAACCTCTGTGGGGGAGAGGGGTCACTTTGGGTCAGAATAGACTAGATGGCAACAGCTTTTTCTAAAAAACTCTTTCCAGAAGAAGACTAACAGAACTTTCTTCAGAGACACTGCTGTATGGGTTCCAACTGGCATCCTTTCTGGGTTCCAGCCAATCATAAACCATTGTGCCACCCAGCTGCCTGTGTCACGTGGGTAATCTAGAAGTCCTCTGAATTAGTTTACATCACATTTCCTGTGAAGCAGTGTCTTCATTCACAGATGGTGTTTTAAGTGCCCCTGAGTCCTTCTGATCCAGAGCTACCCTGTATAGTGTTTCTGGGGAGCGTCACACCACTTTAAAGAATAGAAATATATTTTCTCACAGTTCAGAAGGCTAGGGGTCCACATCCGGGGTATTGACTTTAAGGAAATGCTCTCTCTCTGCTGGTTTGTTGCTTTAGATTTCTTTACCTTCCTGATGTAGCGTGTGGGGCAAAACTCTGGACTGCAAGGTTAGTTCGAACCACAAGGTCAACCTTGGAAACCCCTACACAGGGTCACTAGGAGTAGGAACTGACTTGATGACACTTAACAACAACAACAACCCTACTGTCCAGTTCAGGGCTCCTGGTGTGGTGCTGTAGGGTCAGCACTGGACTGCTAATCTGAGGAAACCCTACACGGGGTCTCTATGAATCAGAACTGACTCGCAGGCACTTAACAACAACAACCCTCCAATTCTGCAATTTCTTGGCAAACTTCACAGGGCATTTACCCTCCCACCCCTACCCCCATGCTTACTTCTTGTGTCTAGTCTTTTTATCCCTCAGAGAGCCCACTCTACTCAGGTATGATCGAATAAACATAACAAAGAAGCCCGATCTCCAAAACCAGAATGGCATTACAGGTATAGGGGTTAGGATTCCAACATATATTTTAGGGGGGACAGAGTTCAAGCTATAACAGCTGGGATCCTCAGAAAAGATATGAGAGCCGGCAAAGCACTGGGAAAGCATCATTCTGAGTCACCTCCATCTACATAGGAGGGACCCTGGACCTGTTGCCCACGCCTGAGCCCTGGCCTGTCTCTGCATCACAGGGCAGGAGGGCTGGGAGAAGGCTGCACATCTTTTCCTGCCATCTGAGCTCAGCAGGAAAAGGAGGGAAATACAGTCTGTTTGGGTAACTTGGTTCGTCTTGTTGGGTTTTTCCCTGCCAACAGTCTAGAGTCACTTGTATACTGTGATTTACAGCCTTGAAAATCATGGATGGGATTTTGTTGCTGTTTTCTGGTAAGTGTACTTCTAGTGACCTTTTACCCATTTAGAACTTATTTTTCCCAAATCTGGGAAAAGAAGCTGGATGACAAATTTGCTTGGTAGTTCATCAAAATTTGGAAGCATCAAAGACATTACTAAAAACACAATAAAACAAAACATCCTAATTAGCGTAAATATTTCATAAAAAATATAACAACATGTCAAACTAAATCATACACCTCATGTTGTTCTTATTATCTGATAAATAAGTTTTGAGGCCAGGTTCACAGGATGCACGGTTATTCATAAAAATAGCAGGGATCAGGGTACTAAATTTTATATTCTCAAAATTCCCGGAGTCGCACCGTCCCTGCTGATACAATCATTACAAAACTGTGCCCCTCCTCTGAAAATGTTAGCCTCGTTCTGCATATTGTTGCATTTTTCAGTTAGTTTTTCATCTAAGGGTTTGAAACGTTTTTGATTCTCATGTGTAATAGTTGTCATCAATTCGGACTTTGGACAATCTGTGTAACGAGTAGAACTGCTCCTTAGGGTTTTCTTGGCTGTAATCTTAACAGGAGGAGCTCTGGTAGTGTAGTGCTTACGAATCGGGCTGCTAACCTCAAGGTCAGCAGGTCGAAATGACCAGCCATTCTGCAGGAGAAAGATGAGGCTTTCTGCGCCCATAAAGATTTAGAGCCTTGGAAACCTATGCAGGGTCATGATGAGTTGGAACCGACCCCATGATACTTTACAACCACAACAACAACAGTTGTAACAGGGAAGTCCTGGTGTTGTGCTGTAGGATAATGCACTGGACCGCAAGGTTGGTTTGAATTGCAAGGTCGGTGGTTCAAACTCACCAGCCATTCCTTGGAAACTGTATACAGGGCTTCTATGAGTCAGAACCAACTTGACGGCACTTAACAACAACAACAATATTAACAGGAGACACCCTGGTGGTACAGTGGCTAAGCACTCAGCTTAAGGTTGACAGTTCAAACTCATCAATGGCTCTGTGGGAAGAGATGCGACAGCCTGCTTTCATAAAGATGGTAGTTTGGAGACCCCACGGGGCCAGTTCTTTTCGGTCCTGTGAATCACAGCATCATTGTGAATGGAATGGACTCAATGGTAACAGGTTTGCCTTTTGGTATTTTCAATCTTAACAAAGTCCTAGAAGCAGATTGCCAGATTTTTGCTTCCACAGTATTGTGGGTAGGTTTGAACCACCAACCTTGAGCTTAACAGTCAAGAATAAAACATTTGTGCTTCTCAGAGACCTTAATTAAAAGTTGATTCTGATTTATAGTAAGCCTGCATAGGGTTTCCAAGGAGCAGCTGGTAGATTTGAACCACTGACCTAGTGGTTAGCAGTACAGTGCTGATCCTACAGCACCACACCAGGATTCCAATGAAAGATATTTGGATGTCACACAATTGGAAGTGGGAGTCACAGGTGCACCCGTTTTGTTGCATGCAGTCCACAGACATGAAGTAGATGTTCTCCGAAATAAGGAAACATTGAGCACCCCCAGCCTGTGCTGAGAACTCGTCGTCACCTACGCCTGCAAGTGCTGTCCTGGGTGCCTTCAGCTGGCCTCCAAGGAACATCGTGGAAGAAGTCTTTGCATCTCTCACAGTTCGGGCCATCCGTATTGTGCCGGCAGACACACTGACCGTGAACCTGCGTTGGGTGATAAGTAAACCAAGAGGTAAAAGAGGGCTCATCTTGGAGGACTTTGAGGAGTGGAAAATGACCTGCGAGACATGGGGCCTGCTTCCCACATGTTAATTACAATACCAACCTTGACTACTTTTATGATTGGCTTAACTACCTTTCACATTTTTAAAAACTTAATGTGTTCAGTGAACATTTACAATACACTTTGGTTGTGTGTGTCTTTTCTGAATTCTAGGCTCAGGACAGAACATGCAGACTCACTAAAGGAGAGATGGAATAGGGAAAGAAGTGTGTGTTTAGAACTTGGAAACATAAGGGAGAACAGGAAGCTAGAAAAAAGAAAGAATTTGGAGATAGGTGTGCAATACTTTCGGGTTTCCACGAAAGTGGGCATTTTTTGAAAGGAAGAAACTATTTCCAGTGAGATCTAGAAGAAGTTGACTGTGAAGGTACAGGAGTCTTAATATCAAGTCTTGAATGATTAGGATTAATGAACAGTTTGAAAGCATTAGTAGCCACACTCTCTAGGGCTCTGCATAGAAATACAGTTATTCTATCAATCACTTACTATTAGCCTCAAGAACAAGAGATCTCTGCAGTGAGAAGATACAGAAGATGCAGTGTAATCATGTTGCTTAGATTGGCTATTTCCCTGATTATCAGACATTGTTGAAGCATGTTACTATAGAGTACAGGAGCTTACACACACACAATAGGTCTTCAACCAATTTTTTGGTGAGAGAATGAATGTGGAATTACAGTTCCTCTCCATCAAATCTCCATTCCCTACAAGACAAACCGAAAACAAGAGAAAGACTGATAAAGCCACAAATCCTGCTTACCCATAGTCCTTGCTGGATGCCCTGTATGTGGCAGAATCCATGGGAACCTCTGTCTAGAGAATCAGAAGTTTCCCTAGGTGGCCTGTCAGGATGTTGAATACTATGTGTCCAAACACAAAGCTGCCCTTTCTAATCCACACTCAGCATGAGGATAGTGAAGGTCAGGCAGCAATGCCAACTCTTCTTTTGGATTCATAACTCACCATTCCAGGAGGGCTGAAAACATCTCCCCGCACCTTCTGCACTGGGACACATTCACTGGCATGGCCATTGCAAAAACAGCTTCCCCGAACAACCATCTCATACAAAGCATAGTAGTATTTCTCAAGGGACTCATTTTGCCTCCTTCCAAGCAAAGTATCCCCAAGGGTATGGAGTTTGGTAAAGTTTATCCTCAGGTTTGTTAGTGTCACAAGGTCTAGAGAAAGTAAAGCAATGAATTTGCATCCATTCAAGGAAGCCTTCTTTGGTATCCCTTTAATATACTACAGGGATATGATATTAAGGAATACATATTTGTACTTGGAAATTTAAAAAAAGGAGCTGATGTAAAATATAGAAAGCAATTCATACCCTGGATGTAAGGACTGTAAGGGTTTTCTATTTCAAAACTGGGATCCAAAACCTTTAAAACAACCTGTAAAACAAATGTAGGTAAATTCATAGTATTCTGCCCAAAAACATAATTATCAAATATGGTTCTAAAGAAGAGAACTTAACTTGATAAGAAGACTAAACCATTGCATTCCAGTTGGTGTAGGATACAGGTTATCATTTGGGTAACACAAACAATAATATCAAGAATGAAAATGAATGAAGGTTATTAAATGTTATATGAACAACTGGCCTATAGAGACAGAAATGGTGATACCACTGGTGGAAAGAGCTCTTGAGCTGAGTTCAGATGGAAAATGGACGATGGCATTCCAGCAAGCCATTGTCACATTGGATCTGCCAGGGAATTCTGGAGCTGTCTTCTGCCTCTCACTCTTGTGCTTCACCTGAGGAAACAGTAGCCCACACTCCTGGTGTGGCGCTGTCCGGTAATGCACTGGACTTCAAAGTCGAATTGAACCACAAGATTGGTGGTTCAAGCTCACTAGCTTGAACCCTATACAGGGTCACTATGGGTCGGAACCGACTCAATGGCACACAACAACAATAATCCTACTCTTACTCCAACCCTCTGCTGGTCACCAGCTCTGCTTAGAAGGACATTTCTGGCAAGAGTCTGTCTGAGTAGTGGCCACAGAGATGAGACAACGAATCCAGGAGTAGTGCTAGCCTTTGTGGCTCTTTCCCAAGGTTTAGAACAGGAACTGTGTGCCAGGCTGCCCAGACTTACAAGTGGGGCACAGGCTGAATTTCAGCCCCCACTCACTTTCAGCTGGGCACTCTTGTGTAGGATTACTTTCTATAATGTAATTGATATTTATCTGTGTTTGTGATGAATTCTGGAACCATCTCAATGTTTATTTCAATAGCACATTTAGATACTTCTGGCCCTATAGGATAAAGTCCTGGACCACAAGGTCGATTTGAACCACAAGGCTGGTGGTTCAAATCCACCAGCTGCTCCTCGGAAATCATATACAAGGTTGCTGTGAGTTGGAACTGACTTGATGGCACTTAACAACAGCAATAACAACATTCTCTTTTTTCCAAAAAAACGAACAGCTCAAGTTACATTAAGTAAACACTACCAAAAATTTTAAAAATAAAAATTAACCAGATTAAAAAAAAAAGTTTCATGTAAGTAAAAGAAATCCATGGAAGGAAATGTTACCTCACCACCAGTTGACGGTTCGATGTCTGAATATTTGGAGTCACAAACAAGATCTCCCACTTCCTGGGCTTGGCCAGATGTGCTGTTGGGAAAGGAAGTAGCACAGTCTCTTGCAAAATATCTTAGAACTTTCCAGGTGTGTCCGTGGTCTGTGGAACGTTCAACTAACATTGCAGCAGGCCGAAAAGTCTATGAACAAATGAGTTCAACTTGTAATGCTCTACAAAGGCAGATTGTATTACCCTTCAGATTTTTCAGACTTTGTTTTTTTAAATAAATATATTATGCAGTAAATACACTGAAAACTCTACAAATAAGTATTTATGAACACAGACTTTATCCTCAATCAAATTCCACTTAAAAATATTTATGGTCTGTGAATTATTAATTAAAGAATGATAGGAAGGAAGATGGCATATAAATAAAAGAATAAATATAATTAACATTTTATAGTAATTTGTAGGTGGTTCTCTTTCCTGGAGTCCTTGGGTTGTGTAAACAATTAATGAGCCCATCTGCTAACCTAAAGGTGGAAGTTGGAGTCCTACAGTGGCACCTTGGAAGAAAGACCTATCAATCTACTTCTGAAAAATTGGCCGTTGGAAACCCTATAGCATATTGATGTGCATGGCGTGTCAGTGAGTTGGGATTGACTCAGTAGCAGCCATTATAACTTGTGTTTTTGTTTTCTTCTTTGCCTATAATGTTCCTCTGACAAACTCAACACCAAACCCAAGCAAAACTCAAATCAAAACCCAACCACAAAGTTTACTCTGAGTCTCAGTAACCAATGCAGTGTCTTCAATGAAGAATGTCCTTAGCATTCTAATTATATCTCTATTTCTGCACTTACCACTTGTATTAAAATGTCCTATTTATATGTTTGTGGAGTCCTGGTGTGGTGCTCTGGGTTAATGCACTGGACTGCAAGTTGGTTTGATCTGCAAGTTTGGCAATTCAAACTCACCAGTCACTCCTCAGAAGCCCTATACAGGGTTGCTATGGGTCAGAACTGACTTGACGGCAGTTAGCAACAACAACATATAAGCAATGGACTGTAAAGCACAAGTTCAGCAGTTCAAACCTACCAGCTGATTCTCAGATAACGTATACAGGGTTGCTATGAGTTGGAACCAACTCCATGACACTTAACCACAGCAACCCTTTACTTGACTGTGAGCTCAGGGCAAAGACTCATGTTTCTTCATTTAACATTTTATATTTATTCTTCATTACCAAAATATAGAACCAGCCTGACATCAAAATGAGTCCAATTAGAGAATAACACAGTGATTTTCTCTGGCATTAATAAAGACCTCTCAATTTTTCTTCTCTTGACCATAATCTTTCTATAGTTTCCTAAATATTTTCTATTTCCTGCCCTCTTTTTGTCTTGTGGTTCCTATTACATTAGTGTTTGAAGTTTTCCTTTAGCTGCATCTTCTACTCTTCGAAGGTATTTTTCATTTTGTTTCGCTCTTAGATTAATACTTAGTTTTATTGATTTTTTATCTAAGAACAAAAACCCAAATGATAATGCTCAACCTGGATTTATAGTTTGTCTGTTTGTTTGCTTCTGCAGGGAAGAGAGGAAGTGTAACACCAGCTAAATAGAGAACCTTTTATAAATGATAAAGGGGCTGCAGGCCTGTACATCAGTACCTTAAAGGTCATTATAAGATGACTGAACTGAAATAATGCCTCTAGATCCAGTCTTATGCTGACACGATCAAGACCTAAAGAAAAATCCAAAAAGAACAAAATCAGTGATTTTGAGAGACCCCTATTTATCATGTTAACTCCTCACTGTTGCTTGCATGAGATAAAATCTCATCACTGTTTCCCAATTTGTTGACCACTATGTGCCCAGGAGAGCTATATAAGAGCAAGACAGGATTTCTCCTGATGGTGCCCACATCCATCTTTTTGTGGTAACATACACAGCCACTGTGTGGCAGCACTACATACCACCAGGTAGTGCCACAACATTTCCCAAAAATGGAAAAAGAGGACTCAATTTCCTTGTATGCAAGTTTTAACAATACGTGAACATGAGCTATAAAGCCTTAGCATGATAAATCTAGTGTATCCTTCTCTTTCAACAACTAATAACAGTCATTCAAACTGGAGTGTTATTGTCTCTTGGCATAAAACACAACTTGGAATTTCCCTCTTGGAGTAGGAATCTGTGAGTTCCTCTATGTGTGTTGCTCAGGACTGTGACCTCAACTAGTTAACTCTGATCCATCTGTAGCGTGGGCGAGGAGGGTCAGCCCTCTTTAGAGCAACACTGTCTAACAGAACTAGAGTGAGTCACATATGTGACTACATATTTCCTAGTAGTTGTTAACACTGTCTGTGATAGGCTAATATCCAGATGCCTACAAGGAAGATCAGTTACCACCACTGTTACTCAAATTTATTCACCAACCACTAAAGCCAATGATGATGAATTTGAAGAATTCTACCAACTTCTTCAGTCTGAAATTGATCAAACATGCAATCAAGATGTATTGGTAATTACTGGTGATTGGAATGCAAAGATTGGAAACAAAGAAGAAGGATCAATAGTTTAAAAATATAGCCTTGGTGATAGAAATGAAGCTGGAGACCACATGATAGAATTTTGCAAGACCAATGACTTCTTCATTGGAAACACCTCTTTTAACAATATAAACGACTACTATACATATGGACCTCACCAGATGGAATATACAGAAATCGAGTTGTTTTACATCTGTGGAAAAGGACGGTGGAAAAGCTCCATATCACCAGCTAAAACAAGGCCATGGGCAGACTGTGGAACAGACCATCAATTGCTCATGTGCACATTCAGGATGAAGTTGAAGAAAATTTAAGCCAGTCCACAAGAGTCAAAATGTGACCTTAAGCATATCCCACCTGAATTTAGAGATCATCTGAAGAACAGATTTGACTTATTAGACACTAAAGATCAAAGACCAGAAAAGTTGTGGGATGACATTAAGAACAACGTACAGGGAAAAAAGCAAAAGGTTAGTAAGAAGACAAGAAAGGCTTAGAATCTTTCTCACAGAGTAAGGTTTAGAATATCTGGGACATTTTAATACTTTCAGCACTTGTCAATTTAGATTAGCCACATTTCAAGTGCTCAATAGTCTGGTGTGGCTTCTTGTTGTTGTTGTAAGTGCAGTGAAGTCGGTTTAGACTCATAGTGACCCTGTATGGGGTTTCTGAGGAGTGACTGGTGGATTTAAACCTCCAACTTTACGGTCCAAATTGACCTTGTGGTCCAGTGCTTATCCTACAACACCACACCAGGACTCCTAGTGGTTCCCACATTGTACAGAGCAGCTCTACAGCACAGTGGCTGGGCTGCAGTAAATTGGAATGCCGCTTAGAGCTTCAGGCCAAGCCAGCTTGGGGAAGGACTTGTTACTGGGAGGTCCACCATGTTCCAGGTCTGGAAAGAACTCCTAATCCTTTCCAAAAAAGTCTCCTTTCCTCTCTCTGAAGATCCTGATTTAGAACCCTTATTCTATGTAATTGGCTTATTTGGCTCTGATAGACATTTTGGAGACATTTGTTTCCTGAGGAGACAAGGAACAAATAAATGCTAGGCATGTTTTTAAAACAACTATTGAACAAAAATTGGTGCTGTTCATCAATGAAGATTGGTGTAGTAAAACCCACTATGTGTTCATTAAGGAGACTACAATTAGAGATTCTTAATTAGGATCCAGAATGAACTAACACTTAAAGCTTAAGCTAACAATTTATCAATATCATAGATAAGACTTTAAAGGTCAAAAATCCTAAATGAAAGAAGAGGAAACAATATGGGTAGAAAGAGTGAGAACACAATGTGAAGAATACCATTAGTATTGCTGGTCTGTTCATATAGAAATTGTGAATGGATGTATATTTGGTTGTGCATATTACCAAAATGAACCAGCATGTAGTAGACACTGATCACTCATTTATCAAACAGGTAACATAGAAAAAAAGTCTTATATTATCCTTGCCTTAAGTTATCTTATGCAGTATGACTATTCCTGTACTCTTCTCCACTGGTTTAGGAATTCCTAAGGGAATTATGTTTAGATGTATGAAGACAATAGGTGATTGCAGCCAAAAGTATAACATATGGAGATGTGGTGAGTGGTAGGAGTTTAAGGAAAACTGGAAGAGTCTCAGGAGCTCTGGTGATACAGTGGTTGAATGCTGCTAACAGAAATGTTGGTGGTTCGAACTCACCAGTCACTCTGTAAGAGAAAAATGCGGCCATTTGCTTCCACAAATATTACAGCTTTGGAAACCCTGTGGAATGGTTCTATTCTGTTCTACAAGATCCCTGTGAGTCAGAATCAACTCACCAACAATGGGTGGAAAGGTGCCACATCAGTATTGAAGAGGGGCCGTTATGACTGAGCTAACCTCCATTGGAGAGTTTGACTTGAGTGGACATGAAGGCACATGGAATCCAATGCTAGGAGTGGTACATGAGGAATCCCTGATCTAGTCCACACTTAAAGAGTAAGGGGATAGGAAACACAGATGCATGCCATTATGGGGTACAGTATTACAGCCTTTCATGAATTGTTGTTAAGTGTCGCCGAGTCGGTTCCGACTCATAGCCACCCTGTATAGGATTTTCATGATGAGTTTTCATGAATAGGGAAGGGAATATATTCAAGAGAGGGAAGAATCTCCGTCAGTAGCCAACTACCCTTTCAATTCAATTTTTTCTTTTAAAATATTTGGCTTACAACAAGAGGCAGGTAATTCATTTTTTCCCTCTTGTACTTCCTGGTGTGGTACTGTGTTTTAATGCACTGGACTGCAAAGTCAGTTTGAACATCAACGTCTGCGGTTCAAGCTCACCAGTTGCTCCTCAGAAACCCTATATAGGTTCGTTATGGGTCGGAACTGACTCGACGGCACTTAACAACAACAACAATGTGTTGGAAGAAACACTGGTAGTGCAGTGGCTAAGTGCTCTGTTGCTAACTTAAAGTTCTGTGGTTCGTACCAACCAGGGGCTCAAAGAGAGAACGATGTAACCTTTCACTTGGTGAAGATAACAGACTAGGAAACCCTATGGGGCAGTTCTACTCTGTTCTATGGGCTTGCTACCAGTCGGGTTCAACTTGATGGAAATGGTTTTGGCTTTAGTTTGTGTGTATGTGATGCAGAAGGAAAACACACATGTGCTTACTCTCAGTTGTTCCCCGGAGTTGTTCATTCAGTTGCATCAGTGTGTTTTATATGTGGTGCTGCAGGACAATGCGCTGGACTGCAAAGGTCAGTTTGAATAGCAAAGTCGGCAGCTCAAGCTCACCAATAGCTCCTTGGGAACCCTATAAAGGATCACTATGAGTTGGAACCGACTCGACAGCACGTAACGTCAACAACAACCAACATCTCATAAATGTCCTTATTTTGTACAAAGAACAACAAAAGGATGTACAGACATTTTCTCCTTCCACATGAGAACAGGGTGCATTGTGAGTTATGGGCACAAAATACACTTTGATTTCTCTAAATGGAAATATTCACTTTAAAAATGAAAAATAGCTTTTGTTCTTGAATGGGACTCTACATTCTTGGTGAACACTGTTCCATTTCAGTATAACTTCTTGCTGTGGCATTATTTAAAACCACGCAGAGAGAAAGATGTTTGATTAAATAGATTATGAAGAAATTAAAACTTGGAAAGGATATTTATCATACCGTTTTCAGATTGCCACCATTTCTTTTCTCGTTCTGGCTCAAAACTGGTAATGACATTTTCAATGGTGTGGCTGTTGGGTTGGGTGTACCGATCATATGGAAATCTGGAGTCACAGACAAAGCATTTTTGTTCCTTCTGGAAAACATCATCATTAAAATTAAAAATAAAGGATTGTAATTGCTTATTGTTAATCTCAATTTAAAAACAAGCTGTGCTTACTATATTTGTCTTTCAATCTTGCTAAAAATAAAAATAAATATCCAGAGGAAATAACAAGACACTGCTTATTTCCCATCAATAGGTGCTTAAATACAAAAACAATCTAAATTTAAATATGCCTTACACATTTAAAATTTTTATACATTTAGGGTCCAAGTGTGAATTTTTGTGGAACTAATTTGTTTCTCCTATCAGCGACAGGTGATGTGGAAATTATTTTAAATCATTTAATTTAAATCATTAGGATTTATTTTTGAGTTCAAATTACTTCCTTAAGTTAAAAAAAAAAAAAGGAATATTTGGCAGGAAATTAATTTTTTAAATGGCTGTAAGTTATCTTCAGCCATCAACTTTTCTATTCTAGATTTTATAAACAAAGCATTTGGCAGAAAATCCTCCTAAACCTTTAGATCACACCTATGGGTTTTGTCAAAGATTTTCATCAAATTCACAACAGAGAGGTCCACCACTGGCTAGAAGGTCTTGGAAATGGTTTTGCCTACGATGGATTTTTCAAAGGTTGCAAAAACCTGACTTTTGAGTTTGCTGAATTGAATGAATACATTTGTGACTATACTTAAAACTTTTAATTAGCTTTCCAAAGATTTCCAAAGGTCTGCCCAGGAGCTGCATAATTGTTTTGGCTAATACTTTCAGGACTCTGAAAAAGCTTTTTGCAAAGCTCCCAGGATGCAGGAGCTATTTATTATAATTCTCTGTGCTGGAAAAGGCCTACAGTGGCATGCTGTGCTGGTACATACCAGTGAATGTCATTTGATTGTATGTCTGCCTTTGACTTACAAAGTGCTCCCTGATCTCACCTGAGCTACCTCTCTGCCTTTCCTCTACCTGTCTTCCCCTCACCCTCTTGGCTCTACCTACACTTGCTCCTAACTGTTGTTCTAGCATACCAAGAGCCCTCTTACTTTAGGGCCTTGGCACATGCGATTCTTAAATCTACGTGTTTTCACCTCCTGCTCCTTCCCTTGTTTTAGGTCTCTGTTTAAATGCCATCTTCTCAGAGAGCTATTCCTTGATCACCCTACCTAAAACATTATCCCTTCCCCACCCCATGACCTCTGTAATTCTCTATCCCTTATCCCTACTTGAGACTAAGCAAGTATTGTACAGGTATTGTTTTTTTGCCTGTCTCCATCATTAGAATTTAAACTGGATGAGGACAAGCGTTTTGTTTTGTTTGTTACAATATCCCCATTACTCAGAGTAGTGTGCGATACATAGTAGAAGATCAACAAAATCTGTTAAAAGAGTACATGATAATTTAATGATTATTTCAGCAAGTAGAATCTGTTTAAGTAAACCAGCTAGTCAGATATTTACAGTGTTCATTTTAGAATCACTGGCCTCCATGATCTTTCATTTGAAGAAAACCAAAGTTCCTCCTGGAAATTAAGGAGCAATAGAAGCTAGATCAATTCTGCATATGGGTAAGCTTGCCTCAGATCTGTCCTAAAAGAGCAGCAAGACTAAAGTATTTCTAGTAATACTATGGGAAATATTGAGAAAGTGTTTATCTAACTTCAAGACTTGTTGGCCATTTTTTCTATAAACATTTTAGAAGTATAGTCTTGTTGAGACTGCCTAGAAAAGATTCTTAGTCATAATAACTAGATGTGGGAGTCCAGACTTGGTTAACACTATGAGTAATGTTAACTTGAAGCTTCTGAAGAAAATGCTTTGCTTGGTAACTCTTTGTTAGGTAACAGGTGGAAAAAAAATCATCCCCCCACAAATGTTTATCTAGTATTTGTGGCCCCAACTATAACATTTTGTGAACCTGGCAATATTTTGAGTGTTGTTGTTTTTCCCCCAGCCCTAAAATGTATGATTTACTTTAGACAAAATTAAGTCTCTATGGTTTTATTTGCTTTTGGTTTTGGGTATAAATTTGAAAACTAGAAACAGCAGTTTCTAATTATTGTCAGAGTATGCTGGCTTGTGATAACCAGTGGTTGAAGAGCTAGATAGATAATGCTGCTGGTGGGAACTTTCTGAAATTAGAGTTAAGAACTACTTCCTTGTCCAGACCTGGGTTTAGTAAAGCCACCCGAAGGGCCATCTGGTCTACCAGGCCTTGAATTGAGCAAAAGTCCTCTCTGTAATTTCCTAGTACATGTAGAGAGTTTGCTTTCTTACACAGGTACTTCCCAGTATTGTCTCCACTTATTTATAATCATCATTCATTCCTGGGAACCAATCAGGATAGCAAAGCATTTCCCAGAGACCTAAAGGAATTGCCTTAAATGAACAATTTATGGAAGAGTCTGGGCCCTCACATTAGGCTTATGTCCAACTTCCTTCCTGCACATCCTCTCATTTAACTGGTTGACATGATTACCACAAGCTTTGCAGCAGGTAGGACACTCAGATGACCTCAGATGCCTGGTCTGCTCCTGTGTCACACACACACACGTCAAAAAACAAACTACAAAGCTATTGGTCCATTTAATGAATTGTTCTTTAAGAAAAAAAGGTTAGTGATGCCAAAATATGTTCACATTGGGAATTTCTGATTTTTAGAAAATGCAGTCTTCAAGTGGTATTATGGGGCTGGTGGGCAAGGAATTCAAAGTTATGCACCCCTCATTCTCTAAGGCAGAACAGTGAGAACTCATGTTCAGAATAATGGGCTTGAGGCCCCGAAGAATCTTCAGTCTTCATCATGGGAGTCACTAAGGTGCTGTAGAATAATCACTGGGCTGCTGACCACAAGGTCACCAGTTCAAACCCACCAGCTTCTCTGTGGTAGAAAGATGAGACTGTCTTGTTCCCATAAAGATCCACAGTCTTGGAAACCCTATACAACGTCACTATGAGTCAAAATCAACAGGTTTGGTATAGGAGTCCTGGTGTTGCAGGGGTTAAATGTTTGGCTGTTAACTGAAGGGTAGGCAGTTCCAAGACACCACCTGCTCTGCAAGAGACAGATGTGGCAGACAGATGTGGCAGTGTGTTGTTACAAAGGTTTGCAGCCTTGGAAGCCCTATGGGTCAGTTATGCTCTGTCCCATAGACTAGAATCAATTTGACAGGGATTGGGATGAACTTTTTTGTTATAAGAGTCAGTAAGACAGCTAAGTAGACCAGTAGACTGTATAGTAATTTACAGTCAAAGACTGAACCCAAACACTTTTCTGTCTAACTCTAATTTATAATAAGGATTATAAATTAGGCAGATCTCCCTTATTTACTGATTACTCATATTTTCCTAGACTTTGAATGTGTCTCTTTTCTTTAGGAAGGAGTATTGTCTCCTTCTTTTGAGTTGACTGAGTTGCCCAGATATGCTTAGAAAAAAGAGACATCACCTATTAAACAACATCCCAGCAAGTAACCAAAAGACCAACCCACCTCCAGGTAGCTGAGGATGCAGTATTTCTGGGTTCCTCTCAGCCCGCAGGTGGAAGAAGCTGTTAGCTGAGAACCACGGCCCACTAGGAGGTTACCAGTTGTGGGATGACAGGCACCTCTGTTGCATTCATCTTGAGCTTTTGAGTAACTGAGCAACACTTGAACACAAAGCAAACAGTTAATTACATGGTACAGTTGCCTAAGGAGGCACAAGGCCTGAAAAAGCACCTAGTTAAGTCAGAAAGCTAACAGTATACTTATTTCTAATATCAGTTTTATTGTTTATTAAGGATCTCTGGTGGTTCCGTGTGTTAAGAATTGGGCTGCTAACTGAAAGTTCAGTGGTTCATACCCACCTGGTTGGAAGCAATCCATATTTGTGCCCATTCCAAAGAAAGGGGACCCTACAGAATGCAGAAATCATAGAACAATATAATCAACCAATAATATGGCATGCAAGTAAAATATTTCTGAAGATAATTCAGACAGTTGCAGCAGTGTATCAACAGACAAGTGCCAGAAAATCAATAGACAACAGCCAGATTCAGACGAGGACATGGAACTAGGGGTATCATTGCTGATGTCAGATGGTTATGAGCTAAGAGCAGAGAATTTCAGCAAGATGTTTACTTGTGTTTTATTGACAATGCAAAGATTTTCAAACTCTGTGTAGATCATGAAAAACTATGGATAACACAGATAAGAATGGGTATTCCAGAACATTTCATTGTGATCATGAGGAAACTGTACGTAGACCAATAGAACAGAGCAAAAGGATACTGAATGGTTTAAAATCAGGACAGGTGTGCTCCAGGGTTGTATCCTTTCATCATACTTAGTGCATCTGTATGCTGAGTAAATAATCTAAGAAACTGGATTTTATGAAGAACGTGGCATCAGGATTGGAGGAAGACTCATTAACAACCTGAGATATGCTGTTATTACAACTTTGCTTACTGAAAGTGAAGAGAATTAAATTCCTTACTGATGAAGATCAAAGAGCACAGCCTTCAGTATGGATTGCATCTCAGTGTAAAGAAAACAAAAATCCTTACAACTGTACTAATAAATAAAATCATGATAAATGGAGAAAAGATTGAAGTTGCCAGAGACTTTATTTTGCTTAGATCCACGATTAATACTCATGGAAGCAGCAGCCAAATCTGCTACACAAAACCTCATGTTCAAGAGCAAAGATACCAGTTTGAGGACTAAAGTGCACCAGACCCAAGCCATGGTATTTTGAATTGCTTCATATGCATGTGAAAGCTAGACAATGAGTAAGGAAGATGGAATAAGAATTGATGCATTTGAGTAATGGAGTCGGAAAAGAACTTCAAAAGTACTATGGACTGCCAGAAGAACAAATAAACGGTGAAAGAAGTACAACCAGAACACTTCTTAGAAATCAGGATGGCAAGACTTTGTCTCTCAGACTTAACCTCATATGCATGCAAAAGCTGGACAGTGAATAAGGAAGACCATAGAAGAATTGATGCCTTTGAGTTATGGTGTTGGAGGAGAATACTGAAAGTGCCATGGGCTGCCAAAAGAACCAACAGATCCATTTTGGAGGAAGTGCAGCCAGAGTGCTCCAAGATGGCCAAACTTTGTCTCTCATAATTTGGACATATTGTCAGGAGGAACCAGTCGCTGGAGAAAGATATCATGTTTGGTAAGGTGGAGGGTGAAAGAAAAAAAGAAGACCCCCAACGAGATGGATTGGTCAAGTGACAGCATCGATGGACTCTGTGGCAACAGTAGTGAGGTTGGCCCAGGATCGGGCAGTGTTTCATTCTACTGTGCATAAGGTCACTATGGGTCGATACTGAATCGATGACACCTAACAACAACAACAACAATTAGTTGGGACCAGTCCTTGGCAAAGGACACCATGCTTGGTAAAGTTGAGTGTCAACAAAAAAGAGGAAGACCCTCAATGAGGTGGATTGGCACAGTGGTAGCAGCAATGGCTCAAATGTAACAACAATTTTGAGGATGGTGCCGGACCATGCAGTGTTTATTCTGTTGTGCATAAAGTCACTATGTGTTGGAACCAAGTTGATGGCACCTAGTAACTATAGCAACAGATATCCAATATCCAGAATATACAAATGTATAGAGGCAAAAGTTAGTGGATAGGAGGCTGTGGGGAAGTGGAAATGGAGAATTATTTCTAAAAGCACATTGGATTCCTGTTTGGGTTGATGAAAAGCTTGGAAACAGATAATAGTAATGGTTGTAGAGTATGGTAAACGAATTGTACACTTAAAATGGCAAATTTTTATTATATTTTTATCCCAGGAAACATTTTTTTTAAAAAAAGGATGTTGAGGATAAAATAAATTTGGGTAATAATATTCCTCCTTTGACTATTTTGCTGATGTTCCATGTGGATTAAGTAAGATTCTCCTTAGTGATGTATTTGTGTAGACAAGTTTCATCCTGAATCATTTTATTGCAATTGTTGGCTTAGAGATTTAGCATGTTTTTATAACTTGACTTGACCCAACTTGTTCTAATCAGATATGTACTTTTCAGAAGTAGAACTATTCCAGGATATAGAGAAATTGAACTACTATTCATAAAATATTATATATGAGAATATGAATTTTTTTTTTTTTTTTTTGCATTTAGAATACTTGGCAACAACAGGTGATTAGAACCATGAGCAGTTGAACTAACTTTCATGCCTGAACATAGACTCAGCAAAATTCTTCTGGGCAGAAATTTTCAACTGTTAGATTATCACAGCAACAGGGTGGAACTGATTCAGAGAATAAAGATGCTCATATCTCTGGGCAACCACTGTGTTCCCTTAAAACTGACATACAGCTCGAACATAGAATCACATTAACAATTCATTTAGGAGATCTGCTCATTTATAGAAAACTTGGAGTAAATTCTTCTATGAAATGAAGGATCACTTTGTAGAAATAATTATGATTTCATGATTCATCAATTTAATAATTTATTATTACATTTTAAAAAGATGTGAGATAGTCTCACATGCTTTGGAGCTCACTTCAGTGTTTTAGAGAAGGCAAGCACATACATTCATGTAGTCATACTCATTTAGTTACTATGGATAAGGAACTGTGCAAAGAACACATGTCAGATAAGGTTCGTACTTTCCAGCCAGCTCCCCAAACCCATGGGGCCAATGCACTTTTTGGTTTTTGTTCTTAACTCTCTCAGTCAAAATGCCTGACCATTATTAAATAGACTCCAACATTATAAATATATATCTATCTATATATCTAGATCTAGATCTAGATATATAGATATTACTATAAATATAAGTCTATACATGTGTGTACATATTACTTGCATTTAAAACTATTCATAATTAGTTTGGGCATTTCCTGGTTGGTAATTCAGACTTCCACCATTCATCTGTCAGTCTGTCATACTTTGTTGTTGCTGTCGAGTTTGTTCCGACTCATAGCGAAGCCGTATAGGGTTTTTGACAAGCAACTGGTGTGTTTGAACTGCTGACAGACTGGGTAGAAAGACTTGGTCACATATTTCTGAAAATCAGCCCATGAAACTCTTATGGATCACCATAGAATGTTGACGGAAAGATGGAGTGCTGGAAGATGAGCCTTCTAGGTTGGGAAGCATTCAGATTATAGTGGTTACAAGAATGGACTCCAAACCAATCATCATGAAGATGGTGCAGGACCATGGAAACATGCTTTGGTCTGTTGTAATTGGTGCCAACTCAGTGGCAACTAATAACCACGACTACATAGCCATGGGCAGCCCAAGAGATTTGGGATAGACCACGGCATATTTAGAAATCCAGGTTCTATTTCAGTAAGGCCATTTCTAGTCAAGCTAATTTAGTTTTGAAGAGTTCTCCCATGAGAGGGGTGTCTAGTCTGGAAGGGCTCTCTGAGCAATTGGAATGTGGGCTAGTGTGGTGCTGAGGGTTAATGCACTGGACTGCAAGGTTGGTGGCTCAAGCTCACCAGCCGCTCCTTGGAAACCCTATACAAGCGGGCTACAAGTTGGAACCAACTCAACAGCACTTAACAGCAACAACAACAACAAGGTAGACAATAGAGTGGCTATAGAGCAGTGACTTCCTGCATTCCCTTCAGATTTCAGGCACTGGTAGAATCCCACAGAGCATTCCAAGTAGCTGTAGATCATAACAACTCTCTAACCAACCGAGGTCAGCTGTAAGCCTCATAGTCCTGGGGTGTGGAGTATAACCTGATAGTCCCAGGTGGACCAAGGGAATCTGCTCCCACTGGTCTGTGGCTCACATTGAAGAGGAGGGAGTTTTCAACAGAGAAAGAATGAGTAGCTCCACATCCAAGCCTTTCTTCTTTCCTCCCTTACCAGCAAAGCTAGCTGCAAAATGACTCCAGGGCTGGGGAATGGCAAAATTACAAAGGAGAGATTCTTAGTTTGCTTCCCTGAAAACACTGAGAATGCATTTTTGAAGAGAAGATTCCAAGAAATTTACTTAGCACTCAGTAACCAAAGGCAGGGCCTCTGTTGCTAGAGAAAATTATTGTTGAAAACATCTTTTCTATGACTAATGCCAATTATTCTCAGCTCATTGAAAACAGCAGAAGCATGGTGAATTAGACTATTTCACTTAGAGCTGTTTGTTACTTATTTAGAAGAAAAAACATTGCCTCTAAAATCTTTTTAAGACCCTTGGGATAATCGCTACATTCAAATTGGTGGTTATGTGCCGTGGAGTTGGTTCCAACCAATATAGACCCTGTATAGGGTTTCTGAGTCCGTATATCTTTACAGGAACAGAAAGGCTTGTCTTTCCCCTCAGAACTGCTGGCAGTTTTGAACTACTGACCGTAAGATTAGCAGTCTGACTCGTAACCACTATGCTACCAGAGCTGAGTTATTTGAATACACATACACACACACATTATATTGTCAGTTGAGAAGCTGAAAGTATTTTACCAGGATTATTTACTGATGATAACATTCCATTGAACTTCCTTTGCCTTTGAGTCTATTCTCACTTATGGCAAACCCAAGTGTTATTAAGTAGAACTGCCCCATAGAATTGTCTTGGCAGTAATCGTAGTGCAAATAGATCTGCAGGCCTTTCTGCCGTGACCCTGCTGGATGTATCTGAACCTCCATGTTTAGGTTAGTAGTATTTATGTGTGGATACTAAGCATGACTAAGTGGATTTCTAATCGCATGACATAGTCACACCGCTCATATAAATCCATTGTCTTCAAGCTGATTTAGACATATAGCACCCCAATAAGACAGGGTGGGACTGCCTCACAAGGTTTCCAAGGCTGTTATTTGCAGAAACAGATTGCCACTTATTTATCCTGTAGAGCAATGGGTAGGTTTGGACCACCAACCTTTGGTTAGCAACTAGCATTTAATCTCTGCCCCAGCAGTGCTCTTGCAGATATATATAGAATTATAGAATAAAAATAATTGGATATGCTTTAAAATGACTTCTGCTCAAGTTTTTAATACAATTCAACACAGGCAGAAAATAGATTTTGACAACTAATACTCACCAAGGTGCAAAAAAAGGGTCAGTTGAAATTGCATTTCTTTGTCAGGAAATGATTAATTCCAATTTTTCTAGTTTAAGATAAGTCAACCTTGTAGTTCTGTACATTAATCCACAGTGCCACACCAGGACTCTTAACAACAACAAGAAAAATAGGTCAAAGTCAGTGCCTGGTACAGTCAATTATTAATGTCTGCAAATAGTAGTATAAGCCCTCAGATTTGCCCGATAGTCCCTATTCTTTAGGAATACAAAGCACTTTCAGCACTCTAGTCCTTGAAAAATAATAATGTCCCAAATGTCTATGTGACTTGTTATTAATGTTTTAAAAATTGTAACATCACAAAATGTTTTCTAGAAAATAATATAAAACAAAATCAATTTTCTTAGCATATTTTAATTCTTTTTTTTTGCCCATTCATATTGTCATGACATTTTTCCTTTAAAAATTATACAATCAATGCATACACATTGTAGAGAAAGTTCAGATAGGCAAAATAGACAAAATCTCATCTGTAGTATGGCATCTAGAGAAAAGCAGTATTGATATCTTGCTGGATGTTCTTCCAATCGGTTTTTTTTTTTTTTTTGCTTATAAATATTGTTCAAATATGCTATAATGCTATATATTGTTTTAGTTAATATGGTGGTGGTGGCGGTACTGCTGGTGAGCTGTTTCTGACTCATAGAGACCCTATATAGGGATTCCAAGGCTGCAAATCTTTACGGAAGCAGAAAGCCTCATCTTTCTGCTGGAGGAATCAAACAGCTGACCTTTCAGTTAGCAGCCCAATGCATAACCCACTATGCCACCAGAGCCCCTTAATAAATGTGGAAGGGCTTCAAAATAGAAAATGGAATTTAAAGATCATGGAATTTTTCCATGAACGTTTTGAAGGCCCTCATATATAATAAAACATCTTTCAGCACAAACTATTGTGCTTTTTACAGTAGTGATTTTTGATCTAGTGAAGGGTGTCCGGATCACCTGGGGCTTTTATAAGCCAAACTTGCACCTCTTCCCTTTGTAGATTTAGCTGTGCCCCATTGGAGAGACACCACGCTTCTGAGAGTCATTTTCATGGGAGCATATATGTTGTTGTTGTTAGGTGCCCTTGAGTCGGTTCTGACTCATAGCAACCCTATGCATAACGGAACTAAACACTGCTCGGTCCTGTACCATCCTCACAATTGTTTAAAACATGAGCTTGTCGTTACTCCCACTGTGCCATTATGTGGGAGCAACACAGAGAGCAGAGTGTCTCTGCCCCTCGCTGGTTGGGAGGGATGAACACACACTGCTCTGATATACTAGGATTTTATATTAGTGTATAATATTAATCTGAATCCATGGACCACAGTCTATTTACAGAGTCCCTAATATTTGATATCAAAGAGCACAGCCTTCGGTATGGATTGCATCTCAATGTAAAGAAAACAAAAATCCTCACCACTGGACCAATAACCAACATTCTTATCAATGGAGAAAAGGTTGAAGTTGTCAAGGACTTCATTCTTCTTGGGTCAACTATCAACACTCATGGAAGCAGCAGTGAAAAAATCAAACGACGTATTGCATTAGGCAAATCTGCTGCACAA